CCCCTAATCTAGTAACTTTCTAATACCCTTTTAAGGGGTTCACAAATCCCTGAAAGGGTTAATGAGTATGCTTCATTTTTTGACATTTGCTTTTCTTTCACAAGTTTTTTTTTTTTTAAATCCCATCCTTATGTAAGTTTTTATGGTTTAGAGTGACTTATATAAATTCATATCTTTGAACTAATGGAAAATATTCTGCAGTTACAGTTGATCTATCTAGAGAGCAATGCTGCCTTTTGTACTTAAAGGCAAGATTACCCAGCTAGAGAGTAAGGTTACAGGTAGGACAGTAGTGGACAAACTTTCGAGGAGGAACACCTGCATTTCTGATGTTACATGGCTTCCCTCTTTTTGACCTTCCTTATATAGGGGGTATTTTGCTTTATCTGCAATATCTCTTCCCCCTTTCAGATTCTGCACTCCAGAAACTGTTTGCTGAAATAGATTTACCCTGAGAGATCACCACATTTTACTAGAGAGTTACGTTTTAACTAGCAATGAAAGATTTAAGGCAAAAAAAAAAAAAAAAAAGAATCCTTTGATGGGATTGTATGTATCACCAGCAAGATGGAGACGATGACTTTGAATTTATGTCTTTTCAAGAATTTGGACTCTCTGCCACATAGTCACTAGGCTTGGAATCAAGAAAACTGTTTTTTAATCCTGAATAATTTAAAGGTCACTTACAGCTCTAAGATACTGAATTTTATTCACAGAAACCTGAGTCATTAAAGTTAAGAACTGGGACTTGACTTTTTTAGGATTTCTCCTCAGAACTAGAAATACATGAAATATGCATGTCTATAGCTCTGTTATGTTGGATTCCTAGAAAAATCTGGTACTCATCTAGAGAAAACTGCCTAAACTTACACCTGGTTGTTTTTCTGAGGATAGCTATGTTCTCACTTTTTTCAGTTTTGAGGGTGTGTGTTTGTGTATAATGGGGCGGGGGATAAGAAACCATAGTGTCACAGATCCTGTTATCCTTAAATATTTTCTCCTCTTCAGAGTCCCCAGTAATCTTTGGGATTGTCCATTCAAGGACTATTACATTATATGTGTAAAGGAAAAAAAAAAAAAAAAAAACAATAAAAAAAAAAAAAAAACTTGTTCTTCAGGACCTTTAAATGGTCACAGATTTATTCAACTTGCTCCCTTTTCCACCATACAGAGCTTATCAGAACGTTCTCTGTATTTCAGACATTGCATACTTAATTATAAACAGACTGCCCTGACCTTGTCCTCTGTGTCTTTAACTCTCTCTTCCATATTAAAGGAGAGGCATTCAGAATTTTTTACTTTTTTGCACTCTCTTATCCCCATTCATCCACTCAACCTAATTCCTGGATTTGTTCAAGTGAGAATAGTTGCCACTTCCTCCTGTTAATTCTTAAACTGATGTCTCTCATCCCCTTGACAGAACACTGGAGTATTAAAACATTTGGTCCTGGAGCATAAGAGTAAAAAGAACCTATGTTTCTTGAGCACCTATAAGTCAAGGACAATGTCCAGGGTTCTTATGTAATCTAATTTAATCTTTTTTTTTTTTTTTTAAGGAATGTAGTATATTTTGTTTTTTATTATTTTTTGTTATTTTAAGAAATCTATTATTTTTAAAATTGAAGTATAGTTCACATGCAATATTATAGTAGTTTTAGGTGTACAGCATAGTGATTTGACGTTTTTATAACAATACAGGATGCTTACCATGATTAAGTGTAGTCACCATCTGTCACCACACAAAGTTATGACTATGTTATTGACTATATTTTCTGGGCTGTACTTTACATCCCTGTGACATTTATTTTATAACTGAAGTTGGTACCTTTTAATTTTCACCTACTTAGCTCATCCCTTCAACCTTCCTCCCCTCTGGAAGCCACCAGTTTGTTCTCTGTATTTATGAGTCTATTTTTGCTTTGTTTTGTTTGTTCATTAATTTTACTTTTAGGTTCCACATATAAGTAAAATCACGCAATATTCATTTTTTTCTATCTGACTTATTTCACTCTAGACCCATTCATGTTGTCACAAATGGCAAGATCTCCTTTTTATGGCTTAGTAATATTCCACACATATATCACATCTTTAACCATTCACATATCAGAGGACACTTTGGTTGTTTCCATATCATTTCCATATTATTTCATGCTAGTCTACACAGCAACTCTTCTAGTATAATATCTGTTCTACAGATTAAGAAAGTGAAACTCCAGAGATTTTGCATAACATCCAAAGTCAATTAGTTTATGTCAGATCAATTAATTTGTGTCAGTTAAAATCAACCCATCCAAACCTGGATGTTTTGGTTGACTCCAACATTCATGTTTCTTCTTTATTCATCTCTGGTTTTCGGGCTAATTTCCTAAAATAGTTTAGGCTGCTCATAATAAATGACCTAGTAAAACAGTCAAAAATAAATACCCACAAAAAAGAAATGGAGAAGGGAAGTGTGACAGGATTTGGAAGAAGGAACGTATTATAATAAAGCTCCAGAAAAATGCAAAGCTCTTAAAAATATTTTTATTTTCCTAATGGTGGACATCATAATTTTCTTAATGGTGGACATCAGTGGTTCAAGCGACGCTTCCATTAATTCTTGCTTTACATTTGAGTGATTTGGGGGCATGAAAGAGATAGAGGCCTCTTTAGGGTTACAGAGGACCAACCTGCCTCTGGAGTCTGCATAGCCTGCCATCTTAGGTACTTCGTTGTGGGCAGAGAGAAAAAGCACTTGTCAAAGCATCACTTGGCCACCTTACCCTGAGCTTTTCTGTATTTTGATATGGATTTGCAAATGTTCCTAAGTATATCCAAAGTGCTGACTCTTAACACAAGGCTTCCACACAGGGATGCAGTGGATTTGATGACAGCTGGGAGAACTGCCTTTGCTATATCCCTTGCCCCTGCTGTACCTTGGTCCCCCACATTTCTCTTACCACTTCACCCATTTCTTGACTCTGTAACTTATTGCACACTACTGTCTAATTTCTGACAAATTGCCACAGAATGAAAAAAAAAAAACCTCTCAGACTAGGAACCAGGAGACCTCTCAACTCATCATTCAGTAATATGGACTTACACACCTTTATTCTTAGAACTTATGCTTACATATCTGTAAAATAGAATAATTTCCGCCCACCTCTGCCTTGCCAGACCGTGTTCTCCTCCACGGGAATGTGACGGTCATTCAGTAAATGGATAAAGGAGAGCTTAGTAACCAGAAGTGTCTTACAGTTGGGAGGGCTTATTATATAAACACCTGTTTATACGACATGGACCTGTAATTGTGAGTTCTTCAGAGGGTCAAAAGAGAAAAATCCGTGCTCTCTTACTTTAAAATCAGTAATTGTAAAATGCAGCTGAATTGTTAATGGTACATCAACTGTCATCCTTATTTATGCAAATTTATACACAGTATATTGTTTGAATTCTTCCAGCCATGGCTCTTCAGAGACAAGGAATGGAGCCTTCCCCATTTTGTGTAATTATGGAGAATGCCGAGCAGTTCCGCAAAGGCCAGGTGTCGTCCCACAGCAGCACTCAAGTCCTAGAGCCCCCTTTTACTCTTCCTTCAGACATTATTATACTGTGTTTGTCTGGAACCTAGGTACATTTGTAGAGCCCTCAAAATTTTGTATTTTACATATTTATAATAAAACTCAGAAAACTTTTTTTTTTCCTCTCTCTCTCCTCTAACATAAATATGGCTGTAGGGAGGAGAGAGGCACAAAATAATGTCTTTTGTTTGAAGATTGTAAAAGGGGAGCGTTTCCCACCATGGGTTAGAAGTAGGCTCAAGCCCAATCTTCATTCTGTGGTCACGGTAATTACTCATTACCAATGCCGTATAGTCTATAAAGTTCTTCCTCCCCTTCTCCTTTCCAGTTCTCTCCATAACCTGACAAGGTAGGTTGGATTATTATCCCCAAGTGTCCACTACACTATGAGCTTCACACACGGGACTAGTTTTTGTCAGTTTCTCTACCTGTATCATCCAACTCAAGTAAGTGTATATATGTTCAGTTTATATAGTTTTCTAGTGAGAAAAAAAATGCAAGGGTGTTTTGTGGCCCACACAGGACCCATGGTTTCTAATATATTCTAAAGGAAGCCTTAAACTTCGATCTTCTGATGCTATATCCTGTTGCAATTATAGTAGATATCACCAGTTCTATACTCAGAGAAAAAGTGAGGAACAACCCTTGAGTAGGGAATGTCGTATGTAATAACATGCCTAGTATAACAAACCAATCCCAGTAAGTTTTCAAATCGAAATTATGCTAAATGGAATTGTTTGTTTTCCTTTGTCTCCCAGGAGACTTGTCAAAAGTCAACAGAAGAGTTGTTTGGGCTCCAGGCTTCTCCTGTATAGAGAGGCTGTTGGCAACCCCATGGGTTCTCTCATGGCCCATGAGCTTCTGTGCTGAGAAAGCAGGGTTCCACATTGGGGCCTCTGCATGCCAGCAGGCTATGCTGCCATTTCCCCATTTGACTGGCTTTGCACTTATTTTCTGCATATCCTAAATGGCCCAGGAAGCTGCCAATGAAGGTCCTCAGCTGGTTTGAAATTGGCACCTTCATGTCCTTTGTAAGCCTGTGGGTCTTCACAGGGTTCTTCTCCTTCATTGATTTCCAAGCTTGTTTGACTTGTAGGGCAAGACTGGATAAAGGGATGGAGAAAAAATAATATGGAGGCCAAAAGAAATTGCAATTATTTTCTCTCTCACAAAAGAGATTCTTTAGGAGGATGTTCAACTCTGTACTCTATACATTCAGGAAAAATATGATTTGATGATAGCCTTGCAATCCTTCCCTAGTTAAAAAAAAAAAAAAATTCTCAGATGGAAACACAAATAACTTCTTGTCATAGGTCCTAGAGGAATATTTTTACAAGTGTATAGCTTAAGGTCATGTTTTAATCTGAGACCTGTTCATATGACTAGTCCTGCCTCTCTAATGTCATATGCTCACCGTCATTCCCATGTTTGTGTTCCTAGGACCTCGATGCAGTCTCAGTCTACATACGGTAACAGCTCCCCACCTCTGAACAAAATGAACAGCATGAACAAGCTGCCTTCCGTGAGCCAGCTTATCAACCCTCAGCAGCGCAACGCCCTCACCCCTACAACCATTCCTGATGGCATGGGAGCCAACAGTAAGTGCTTCTTCCTTTAGCTGCACCTTAGGGGTCAATGGGGTTAGTGTAGGGGAAGACTCTGCTCTAGGATGTGGGAGAGGCTTGCTCCTAAACTAAGGAGAGGCAGAGCAGGACAGAACAGATCACAGTTTCATGGCTTGAGTTTCTTACGGTGAACTTTTTGTCACTTTGGAAGTGTATAGTTCATTACAAAGCACAGTGGTAGAGATAAAGGAGGTTGTTCCTTCAGTAGGGTAAAGGACCTCTGTGATAACAACATTCCACTTCCTGTCAACCTGGTTGGGGCCCACCTCCTACCTCCTTTGAGAAAGCAAAAAGGAGATCTATCCACCATGTAGAAAGTAACATGATGTAATAAACTTAAAAGTCTAGAGAAATAGATTGTGGAGTCTGGACTCTATAGCAGTATTAGCTGTGCAACTGTGGGCAAGTGCCTCTCCGCTCTAAAATTCTGTTTCCATTCATAAAATTATCACTCTGCACATTTAACCTCTTATGATTCTGTGCCCCGATGACCTTGGCCTTCTCAGCTTGTCTACTTCATCTTGTGTAGTCATTGAGGAATTGGCATAGAGAAGGGAGTCTCCCATTTACTTATTCATGCAAAGACTAAGTCTAATTGTAAGAGGTAACATGAGAATCAGCCGTCCAAATGGATGATGATTGCTATATAGCATTGCTGTAAATAGAATTATTCACTAGAACTAAATCTAGCAGAGTGAATTCCCAAACTAGAGAAAACCAGAAGGAGGATAAAATGCAGAAGGATGTCTCCTACCCTCAGGGATGCAGAAGCCCAAACACTGTATTTGTATCCTGAAAGGCCCCTCAGAAAACAATGCCTCCATCTTGTCCTTTGAAATCCTTTATTATTCTGATCAGGCCTTTCAATGTGCTTTTCAGTATTGCCTTAAAGAGACTAGGGTTTTTTGTTTGTTTTTGTTGGGTTGTTTTTTTGTTTTTGTTTTTGTTTTGTTTTGTTTTAAGAAGTTAAGGGAAGCTAGGATTGTGACTCTCTATGGTCTGATGGCAAACATTCAGATTTAAATGAGATAGAGTGTATGAGGTATTGTTGCCTGGTCTGGCAACAAAGACTTGAGAGCCAGACTGATCTCTCACCTAGGATGCGTTCATCCTAAGGCTCAAATCCTCACCCCTTGATAGGTCTGCTGCTTTGACAGTAAAAGGAAAAAACACCATGTATATTTTTACTTTATTTTCTTCCTTGTGACATTGTAGAGTCCTTTTGTTCCTTCAGGTTTATAAAAGTTATAGTTTGCCTACTTTTTCTCATTTATACTTCACAATTTTTCTTTAATGTCATTGACAAAGTCAGAGGGAAAACTGATGAGATATGATAAAACCATGCTCCTTAGCTGCCCAGTTAGTGGCAGAGGCCTCTCCTTTTTGGCATATCTTATTCAATAAAAAACAAAACAAAAACCAAAGAAAACCAAATTGCATTAATCTTTTTATAGATATGTTCCTTTACTCTTTTTTTGACCTGAAGACAAAATTTGCTTCATAGATATTATCGGTATTAACCTTTTCTTCTCTATAGGTGAATGTTTCCAGTTTGTAGTTTAGTTAAAAAAAAAAAAAAGTTGAGGTTGCTGGTACCTCTGAATACAATCCAGAAATGGACCCTAAGAAAGAGCTGGGATCTTTAATTTCATCCTTCCTTATTAGGCTTATGGCTCCCAAATATTGCAGTAAATCCTCCTATCCCCAGACAAATATTCCAGAGGTCACTGTCTCATTCACAGGTCTCTGCATTTGTTCACTGCACATCAGTTTACTGAGCATGTGATTGATGCCAGGCACTGTGCAAGGGTTTGTGGGGATTGAGACAGGTACAGGATCTAATCTCCAAGCTTGAGGCATTAGCCTAATGAGAGAGACAGAAGTATAACCCACGAAAGGCAGATGCAAAGAGGAATATGTTAACATCAGGAGTAATGAGCATTTAGAGCATTAGAAGTAGGGAAAGAAGTGGGGGGAGATGATTCTAAGGGAACATGTGAAGGTCGAAAAGCGTGCATCTAGTTCGGAGTTTGGTGACTGTTCTGTTCTGTTGGATGAGATGTAGGGTGCTCGAAGGGGTGCAGTGAGAGAGAGAAGGCTGGCTAGGAAGGCTGGTGAATTCGGCCCTAGGTAACATTAAACCAGGCAAAATGGACCACTGGGAAGCAGGTACTGATGACGGCAGTAACCCTCTCTGTTCCTCCTGCTTCTGTTCAGTTCCTATGATGGGCACCCACATGCCAATGGCTGGAGACATGAATGGACTCAGCCCCACCCAGGCCCTCCCTCCCCCACTCTCCATGCCATCCACCTCCCACTGCACTCCCCCACCTCCGTACCCCACAGATTGCAGCCTTGTCAGGTGAGTCCACAGCATGTGCCCCTGGGGGCCTGTCCTAAGCAACTCTGGGTGGCGGAGGGTGGACAATCTCAGAGTTCATGACACAGCTGGGGGAAAAAAAAGGGAAGGAAGCAGACCTTCCTCTGGTGGCAGTTCAACACTGTTACCTCTGATCTGTGGAGTGGTCAGCAGTGTTGCATCAAGGAAAAGCACAATGATCCGCATGGGAAAAAGTGAAAATGTGAGTTGATAGGCATATCATTTTTCATGCCTGTTTCCCCCCATCTTCACTTACACCCCCCCCAAAGTTTTACACGGTCAGTTGGGGCCTTCGAATTGGTGCTCAGGGCTGGGGTTCCCAGAAGGGCAGTAAACTTGCTATCTCGCTCCCTTTCCCATTCTCCAGGACTCATAGCTCTCAGCCACCACGGCCTCGTTATGTCAGAGGGGGATGTGCATTAAAAAGTTTGAATGTATGCAAAAACGACAGAGACTTGCAAGAACCCGATGGTCATTGCTGCTTTGCCATAGGCATGAACGCATGTTCTAGGCAAGAGCACACAGATAGCCAGAAGAAAGAAAAGCATAAAGCCTCAAAGGCAAGAGTGGGTGCCATGTCTCCTGCCTAGCACACATTGGCTGCCCCTACTTCATGTGCAGAATGATCCTCTCATTTGGCTGCTGGAATAATGGGCGTTGGTCCCCCTGTGATTAATGCAACAGTACCAACCAGCATCAGCCAGACAGATGGCAAAGTGCACGGCTTGTGCCACCCAGCCTGTGGTTTGGTGATGGCGGCCTTACCCATCTGAGGCCAGCACACCAAAGGAGGCATCTGTATTCTGAGCAGGACATAAATCAGAAAGCAGTAATGACATCAGGGCATAGTGGCCTCCAGTTTTTCTTAGCCACACGCACCGTTCTCAGAAACCCACTGATAAAAAGCAATTCTAGCGGAGATGCTCTTTCAGAAGTGAAGAGGCAGGAGGCAAGAGCGCTGGGAACCTGACCCCTGGACTCCTTCCTTTCACCCCCTGCAATGGCTCCTAAGGCACTTACCTATGTAGAGCACCAAGAATTCCACCAATCACTGCTCTGCAGGAATCCTCGGAGTTGATTTTAATTTCTATAGACCTAAAGTTCAAGTCACTACCTATCCCCAAACCTCAAACCCAAGGCCCACACGGATTGATTTCATCTCCCCCTAGCCTCTCCTGTAAGGCATCCCAGGGCAAAATGTTGGGTTTTCCTTTACCTCGCCAATGCAGTTGGGGTGAACTTTCTTTTTCTGTTTCCTCCTTCCTCTTCCCTCCTCCCTCTGCAGTTTCTTAGCGAGGTTGGGCTGTTCATCATGTCTGGACTATTTCACGACCCAGGGGCTGACCACCATCTATCAGATTGAGCATTACTCCATGGATGTAAGTAACTGTTAGACATTTCTCTTGAGTTTTATTTCTTCCTTTCTTCCCTCTGGTGACATCCACCTGGTAGTTCAGTTCCCCCTGGTTTTAACACTGGTTTTTAGCATGCCCTCAGTCCTCAATTTCAGTGGAAACCATTACCAGATTAGAAAAACTCCCAGGCCTCCGCCTACATATCTGAGAAGGATAGCAATCAGTCTTCCTCAGCTCATCAGCTCAGCCAACAGTTGTCTGTTGCACACATATTCTATTCAGAGTGGGAAAGAGGAGATCTAATTCCTGCCTCCACGAAATTTACAATCTCTGAAGAACTCCAAGAATTTTCTAGATGTTCTCATTAATCGGTATGAGACTCCAAAGAAACTAGCAGGAAGCAGGTGATATTATTCTCACTTTAAAACATGGAGAGGTGACAGTACAATCATTTGCATCATGAGATGATGACAGAACCAGGAATAGAGCCCTGAGGTGGAAGCTTCTGGTCTTTAACTCTATTCACTGGCTTCTTCTACCTTTCCTTAAAGTCAGACTTTAAGGAGGAGTCCGCTGTTTCTCTGTTAGAACTGTGTGTTCATTCATTTTCAATTCTATCAGAATAAGGTCAAGCCATCCCTGATCATTGGCAAAAATCACTGGTCATGGTTCAGGTCCCATCCATGCTTTTTATAAGAACGAGAACCTGGGGTTATCACTTTGCCTCTCTGAGCCTCAGTTTATCAAATGGGGTTCAAAAGCCCTTCCTTCTGGCTTTGATGTCCCTTGTCTTTTGGAGCAAGCTGGATAGAAGGGGACTTTTTCTTCCTTCCAACACTGCTTCTTGAACTGCTCACATGGGAGCTTGTATTGTTCTGGTTTGCAGCAATCCAATTCTCCTCCCAGGCTGCCCTTCATGCTGCTCTCTTTGGGGTTTACTATCCTCTTTTCCAGCTTCCAGAGGGCCTTTTGAACTGGTGGAAGAAGATACTGTCTGCCTCTGCTGCTGCTTCTCTAGTTGGGATCTATTCTTTCCCCTCCTTGAGCACCGATGCTAGAGATGCCCCTGCAGCATGAGAATCCCCCAGCCCTGTGATGATGAGAATATGCCTTACCGCCCTTCCGCCCACCCCTCCACCCCCCACCCCATAAATCACCCTGGCTGCTATTCTCTGATGGAATGAATTAAGTGGAAACTGTAATGCAAGCTTTAGGAGTAAGTTTTGACAAGTTTCATGTCACTTTACAATGGTGTCCATCCGTTGAGGAGAAGAGAGCTGCCCTGTGCTTGACAGCCCTATGTGATAAAACAGGGAATATGTCCTTTCTTATATTGTTAAAATGATGCCTTCCACTTGCTGACTGTCCCCACTGGGGAGTGTGTCAGGAGGCTCCTCCCTTGGCTCTTAGCATCTGCAGATGTCCTCCACAAGTCCCTCTCTGCTGGTGTTGGCTAGGTTTCATGTCAATGTCTGGGCCACAGCTTCCTCACCTGTCAGTTCTGAGTTCTGATCTATCCAGAGAATCACACAGCTTGATGGGGGATAGTGTACAGAGTTCTGGACTTACTGAGAATTTCCGAAGCATAAAGACTTACACTTCCTTATTTATGTGTGGGTTGCCTTTTTATAACGTATCCTTCTGCTAGACTGGGAAATCGGAGGACGCATACTATAGGCATCCAAAAGGGGAAGTAACTGGGAGGCTCTCTAAATTCTGCAACCTCTCCTCAGCTTCTCCCATCTCATTACTGGAAATAGAAACCCTTTCCAGCTTTTTGTCTCTCAACGCCTGTCTGAGTTGCTTGGAATCTCTTCCTAGAAAAAGAATATGGTTCATTTGGCAAGTTTTCCTAAGTATCCCCTCTAAGATGCTGGGATGGCTTCATAAAAATTTAATATAGTAATAATGCAAATGGTTAAGCTTTAGATAGTGTGCTTCATAACTTCCAAAATACTTTCACATCCATATTTACACCTGAACCAATACTGTGTGTTGACGTAAAAAAGGAATTCTGTGCCGTTTTACTAAGGAAGAAACTGAGGCCAATAGGGGAAAAGTGACTTGAGGAAGGTCTAGAGCCAGTCAGTGACAGTATAAGAACCTCTGTCAAGAGCTTCTTACTCCAAGCACAGTGTTCTTTCTACCCACCACGCTGCTCCATAAAAGAGTAAGCCATCACTGAAGCCAGCTAATGAAGGGATAGTGCAGATAACTGTGAGAGATGTCATTGCAGTTAGTTAAGACAGAGCATGTTCATAATGCCTTCCACTCACATTCATAGAACATGGACACATACTCTGCATTTGGATACCCTGATTTATCCAAACACCAGTGACCTTCTGGCCATTAGGGCAGTTTTAGGTTCAGAGGCTGTCCTGAGTCCCCAATTCATTTACTTAATTGGGTAACTTTAGACTTGTCAACCTCTCTGACCTTCAGCTTTTCGACCTATAAAACAGATACCACTAATCTGAGCATTAAATGAGATCATGAATTAAAATAATTAGTTCAGTGCCTGGCATGTAGAAAGTGTTCATTACCTGTTAGCAATCTTTTCTTCTCATCAACTTACTTGAGCAGTGGTGATGGTCCATTAATCTCTCTCTTCTAGTCACAAGAGCCAGGTAGATTTAAGAGTTGGAAGGTACCTTTATCTTCTGTTTTTGTTGCAGGATCTTTGCCGTCTGATCTAACCACTATCCCTATTTTACCAGCAAAGAAACTGAGACCAGGCGAGAATAAGTGAAGTGTTATCCACAAGCAGAAATGGCACCTCAAGGCTGTACCTTTTGCTTAGTTACATATAATGCCAAAGGTTATCTGAGAACTAATCATATTTTGTAGAGAGCAGTAAATTCACGTGGGTTAAATCAGAACACTGGGAATGACAAAATGATGTGGACTAAATATCAATTTGTCTCTTTGTCCTAATTCTCCCTGATACCCTTCCTTATTTCATAGGATTTGGCAAGTCTAAAAATCCCTGAACAATTCCGACATGCCATCTGGAAGGGCATCCTGGACCACCGGCAACTCCACGACTTCTCCTCCCCTCCCCACCTCCTGCGGACCCCGAGTGGTGCCTCTACCGTCAGTGTGGGCTCCAGTGAGACCCGGGGCGAACGTGTTATTGACGCTGTGCGCTTCACCCTGCGCCAGACCATCTCCTTCCCACCCCGCGATGAGTGGAATGACTTCAACTTTGACATGGATGCTCGTCGCAACAAGCAACAGCGCATCAAAGAAGAGGGGGAGTGAGCACTACCATGTTAACTCCTCCCATGCTCTCCCTGTCTGTCTTTCTGTCTGCCTTCTTACAAGGCACTAGTGCTTGACCTTCAAAGTGTCCTCCCTAGCTCCTCTCCTTCCTCTTCTCAGTCTGGCTTCTTAAGGGAAGAAGTAAGAGGTTATCTTTGATCTAATGTCCAACCTGGCACCTGATTCTGATTTTGGCTTTAAGCCTTCAAATCTATTGCTTGCAGAACTGAAGTTATCATGGCTAGGTGGAAGTGAGCAAAAGAGCAGTGGGTATCTCCTTAAGCTGCAAAGATTTCTCATTGACTTTTATAAAGCATTTTCACCCTTATAGTCTAAGACTATATATATAAATATATAAATATACAGTATATATATTTTGGGTGGGGGGCATGGAGTATTGTTTAAATGTAATTTAAAGGAAAGGAAATTGAGTTGCACTTATCAGCTTATTTTTTTAATTTACTTGTTCGGATGGCTTATCTATGCCCCTTCTTTCAAGGGGTATCATGTATGGTAATAGGTATCTAGACATTGATGGCACATATGAATGACAAAAATGTCCTTTCAGTTCTTCCGATGCAAAGCAATTGCCACATCAAAGCTTTGGATGGATCCAGTTGTTTTTACCATTGCATAATGTGTGTATGAGAAGGTGTTCTTACTTACATGGTTCTCTGTGTTGGTGCACCTTATGTCATTGACATTGCTACTAGTGGTGGTTATTCACTCTGGGGTTATTTAGTTCAATTAGAAGAAAAAGTCCATGTTCTCACTTTCACACCCTAGAAGAAAGGAAATATCCTCTCTTGCTTTGGGTTGGGTGTGGAGAATGTGGGTACTTACATGGTTCTCTGTGTTGGTGCACCTTATGTCATTGACATTGCTACTAGTGGTGGTTATTCACTCTGGGGTTATTTAGTTCAATTAGAAGAAAAAGTCCATGTTCTCACTTTCACACCCTAGAAGAAAGGAAATATCCTCTCTTGCTTTGGGTTGGGTGTGGAGAATGTGGGTCATGGCTAAAATTCTTCAAAGTTCCCTGGCAGCTAGTTCAAAAACATCAAGTATCATGTATCTGGCTATATCAACAACCCCCTTTCATTTAATACCAGATGCCTTATCTTTTGGTATGTATTTGGAAAATATTTGTGGCTAAGTTTCAATCCTGGACTAAGTCAATGACACATTTGCTTGTTAGAACTAAGGTTGATTTGATTGGGATGAATGCCGTCTCCCTAGTTCTTACACCGAAATTGTAGTGTCTATTCAGAATATCCAGGAAAAACAGGAATCATCCAGAAATACCGAATCTCCATTAAACAGAGAGACATCAGGGAGTCATGAATTGAAATTCTTAAAAGAGCTTTTGAAACATAGCTAATATTATTTGGTGCATGTTTCTTCTGAAAACCCTCCTATTGTATAAAATTCTGCATGTAGAGGCTCGTTTATCATTTTCTCTTCAAGGTTTAAAACAGGAGTAGTGATCTGGAAAATCTAACATGATGAGATCAGTTTTCCTGTAGCATCAGTTGGGTCACCCTATCACTTTTCATTCTTGACCAATAGGAGTTTGACTTTGTTGAAAAATAACTGTGAGAATCCAATTTCCCGTCCATCTCTCTCCCGGACTGTCACAGACATAAAATGTCCCCACAGATCAGGGGATAAGCCAGTGGAGGTGTTGCTGGAACCACATAAACAGATGGTTGTCTTCAGACTTTGGGAAAATGTGTAAATGATAATATTCCTGTAGATCTTTCAGAAAGATGCTTTTTTTTCCAAACCCTAAAACAAACATTTTGTACATAGGCTAATGAGCTCTAAAATCCTTCTGTGCATTCTAATAAAGGGCTGTGATTGCACATAAGCTTCCACTGCTGTTTTAAAGTGCAAAAGGGCTAAAGTAGCTCAAAAGGATAATGTGTGAGTTTCACCAGGAAAGTGTATATATGTTTTGTGTGTGAAATTACATACTTTGTGTCTCAATTTTTATTATCTTCTTGGGCTAGTAGGTTTTCCAGAACCACGGTTGAAACTTTATTTTTTATTATTATTATTGTTTTTATATTTTCATGGAAACATCATTTAGTAAGACTACAATGTCAAACAAGGAAAACAAAAATACCATTACTGTAAGATAGGGGGAAGGGAATGTTGTTTTTTTATTATTATTTTAATTTTGTATGTTCAAGAAAGTGAGTCCTTGATTTCAAAGTTTTATTGTGCTTAAATGATAAAGGGCAAACTGTTAATTTGTGCAGTAAGTATGCAGCTTGGCTTTAAACCTACTGAGGGGAAGAGTAAAAGTGGTGCCTTGGCAATGCTCAGAGGGCAGATAGCTTCCCCAACTGTCCTGAGTGTCTGAACGAACCTAGGACCTCCTCTGAGCTATTTCGGCACTGTTCAGGTAGCATCAGGGACTCAGAAATTCCTGTACTGTATTGTACGTGTTTGGCACTAGCCAAGGCTAGGCACAACGGCTGGCCTCATGTCCTGGTGGCAGCTAGGATAAAGGGTGAATGAGTATTCAGGACTGACAAGTGGGAGTGGACTTAGTGGAGATCTTGGCAGGGTGGGGGGTGTGCAGCTCCATGCAGTCTGCTGAAGAGTGGATGGGTTTTTGTTTGGAAGTGATGAGAAGCAGAAAGGGAGACTAGAACTTTCTTCATTAAATCCATTTGTCTTTTGTTTTCTTGATATCCTCCTAAAGTACATTATGTGGGATGTTGAATGTTAAAGGTTGAATTTTTTTTATTATTTTTATAATTGTACAAAAGTTAAATGTCAAATGTTTTATATGCTTTATTAATGTTTTGAAAGTTTCTTTCTTATAGATGCGATACTTTTTTTTTTTTTTTAAAGCTTCTGTTGCTTGTCTTTGGTATTTTGTGTAGTGGGCTTTTGATGAGCCAGAGGCAAATCCCCAAGTCACTTATGTTTGCCAGGACATGCAATAAAATTAAAAAATAAATAAAAATGCACTGAGAAATGGTGTTGATGGGATGTGTGTGTGTGTGTGTGTCTTCTGTCTGTCCATCCATTCATCTGTCCTATTTTTATCATTGAGGAAGAAGAAGAGGCACTGAAAGAAGCATTAGAGTTTCAAATATTGATGTTTCTCATCTCAGACCAAATAATCATTATTTTCTTATTTTAGCCAATCTATAAGGAAGGAAAGACTAGGAAGCGGTCCTCCTTTATTATATTAGATACTCCCAGATGTAACACTTTATTTCATTGAAAGCCGAACGAATTTGCTTTGGAACAGGGACTAGACTACTGATATTCCTAATGTCTGTTCAGTGACTTTCCCGTGGCAATGATTTAGCAGTGGGGGTGGGGGGAGGGATGCCGATTACCTTATTATATGTGGAAATAGCACTGCAGATGGAGGGCTCTGGGAATGTTCCCCTTTAAACTCAGTGTTACTCTCACCTTTCAATTACATACATTTATTCAGCCAATAAAATACTATCAAAATGGCTTAATGATTTTTACTAAAGAAATGAAAAAGTTTGTTCTTTTATGAGCTAACATGAGATGGCATGAAAACAGCTTAATACTTTGGAGTTATAAATAACTTGACAGAATAGCATTGTATATAATATATAGTACTTAAATATTAATGTGTTTACCTGTTTATAGGACTATAGACTCACATTACAAATATATACATTCTTACAGGCAAAGCAGGTTCAGCTTAAATTAGGGGTACCAAAAGTTTCAGAATTCTTATTCCTTACATTTTATAAGTAGACAGATGCTGAAGGTAAAGTATATGGAGTATATTTTTTTTTTAAAGATTTTATTTATTTATTTGACAGAGATCACAAGTAGACAGAGAGGCAGGCAGAGAGAGAGAGAGAGGGAAGCAGGCTCCCCGCTGAGCAGAGAGCCCGATGCGGGACTCGATCCCAGGACCCTGAGATCATGACCCGAGCTGAAGGCAGCGGCTTAACCCACTGAGCCACCCAGGTGCCCCCCCCCTTTTTTTAAAGATTTTGTTTATTTATTTAAGAATATGTTTAGTTTTATAAGAAACTGCCAAATGGTTTTCTAAAGTGGCCGTACCATGTTGCCTTCCCATCAGCAATGAATGAGACTTCCTGTTGCTTCATATCCTCACCAGCCTTTGGTGTTGTTAGTGTTCTGGACTTTGACCACTCTAAAAGGGATACAGTGGTATTTCCTTGTTTTAATATGCATTTTTCTGATGACATATATGGAGCATCTTTTCATAAGTTTTTTTTCTTTCTGTATATCTCTTTCAGTGAGATATCTGTTAAAGTCTTTGCCCCCTCTTTTTTTTTTCAGTTTTATGTTCCCTTATTGTTGTTTTAAAAATTCCAAAACAACTTTTAAAAAACAATAACATAGCATACCTGCATGGCTCAGTGATTTAAGCATCTGCCTTGGCTCCGGTCATGATCCCAGGGTCCTGGGATTGAGTTTCACATTGGGCTCCTTGCTCAGTGGGAAGTCTGTGTTTTCTTTTGCCTGGTTTTCCCTCTACCTGTTCTGCCTACTGCTCTCCCTGCTTGTGCGCGCTCTCACTCTGTCTCTCTGAAAAATAGTTAGATAAATAAAATATTTTAAAAAACAATAAAATATATGTCTTGCAATTATCACAGGGTCTGTTAGACCCTCTATAAATCTAAAATGCAGTTTGAAAATGTAGCGATTTTGCCTTTTCATATCTTGAGACATTTTCTCTCTTTACCATTGTAGATTTTACTTTATTCATACTTCTCGATTCTAATGAACCAAAAGTCAAAAGACTAAAATGTTTAAAAAGGGAAGAATGGCGGCATTGTCCAAAGCTGGGTTAATACAGTAGCCACTCACCACATGTGACTCTGATCATTTGAAATATGGCTATTTAAAACTGAGATGTGCTTTAAGGGCAAACTACATATTAGATTTCAGAGACTTAGAATAAAAATAAAGAATATAAAATAGTTCCATATAATTTTTTATGTCAATTCTATGTTAAAAGGTAATACGACGAATGGATAAGGAAGATGTGGTCCATATACACTATGGAATATTATGCCTCCATTAGAAAGGATGAATACCCAACTTTTGTAGCAACATGGACGGGATTGGAAGAGATTATGCTGAGTGAAATAAGTCAAGCAGAGAGAGTCAATTATCATATGGTTTCACTTATTTGTGGAGCATAACAAATAGCATGGAGGACAAGGGGAGATGGAGAGGAGAAGGGAGTTGAAGGAAATTGGAAGGGGAGGTGAACCATGAGAGACTATGGACTCTGAAAAACAATCTGAGGGTTTTGAAGGGGCAGGGGATGGGAGGTTGGGGGAACCAGGTGGTGG